ATGTTCATTTTCAACAAACATTTATAGGACACTTTTTAAGTTAAAGGCACTGTTCTAGGAAGCAGGAACAGAAGAAAGTTCTTGCCCTTTTATACTCTGCATTCTAATGGGGGAGGGGGATAAATAAGTAACTATATGAAATGTCAGATGGTGATAAGGTGCTTTGGAGAATAGCAAACAGGATTCAGAAGTGGTGGCATGTGTTGGGTGATCAGGGAGGGCCTCTCTATTAAGATGTCATTTGAGTAAAGCCTTAAAAGAAGTGAGGAACCATTGGCTATCTGAGAAGTTTGGGGGGACAGTGTTCCAAAGCAGAGGGAGCAGTCGGTGCAGAGCCCCTGAGGCATGACTATGCTGGCATGTTTGAGTAAGGAGGCCAGTGTAGCTGGAGTGGGGAACGTGTGTGAGGTCAGGGTGTAGAAATGGGATCTGAGAGGTTGGCAGGGGGCAGGAGGAGGTGGATCATGGAGGTCCCTGTAAGTCCTAGTTTGAATCATTGTGGTCATGCAGTTCAGTTGGAGAGATTGATGATACCGTTTATAAAGAGTTCTAAATGCTGTGCTAAATGGAGGTTTTTTAAGCAAGGGAGCAACCCTACGAGTTTATATTTTAGGAAGATCACCTCTTCCATATGAAGGGTCACTTGAAAGGACAAAATTTAGAGGTAGGGAGATAGTAGCTCGGGCAGGAGAGGACGAGTGCTTTCCTACCAGACACCTCCTAGTCACAGACATACATTTTGCAGAGATCAACTACACCTGATTGTTTTTGATTTAATTTCTCACATAATTTTTTAATTCATTTTATTTTTTAAGATTTTATTCATTTGAGACAGAGAGATGGCAGAGAGAGCACATGGGCAGGGGGAGAGGCAGAGAGAGAGGGAGAAGCAGGCTCCCTGCTGAGCCAGGAGCCCAACATGGAGCTCAGTCCCAGGACCTGGAGATCATGACCCAAGCCCCTGAGCCGAAGGCAGACACTTCACCACCTGAACCACCCGGGCGCCCCTCGCGTAATTTTTTTTAATGATGGACTAAGAAATACTATGGCACAGGTTGGAAAAATCTTAGACTTGATTCTAGTCTTTGTTCTGTCTGCCTGCTGTGCAGCTTGGGCTTACATCTCCAGTTCTCACTTTTTCATCGTAAAATGCGAACAGTGCTGCTTCCCCAGGTGCTTCACCAGCACACAGACTGTGGTGTGTGAGGAGCAGCAAATGAGAGAAGGGATGGAAGCGCTTTGGGGATTCGTGAGTCCCGCAGAAACTGTTCTTTTTCATATTCAGTATCCAAAGAAAAGGCATTTGATTGGTCTCCCTCAAAAACAAGTTTCATTCTTCTAGCCTGTTTTTTTTTTTTCTTTTTGCTCTCATTTTCTATAATTAAATCAGTTGCTGATGGACATCCTGTGTTAAGAAGCTGGGTTCCTCTCAGTGCCATTTTAGCTGTTAGTACCTGACCAGGTTTTCTCCAGTTTACACGATTGCGGCTAAGAGGGGCTATGCAGAATTTCTCAGAGCAGTGAATTTCTACTTTATGTTAGATAATTCTTTATAGTGTATTCCTAAAATAACACACTCTCTATCAGTTATTCCTCTTCAGGGGAGTGGTAGTGTTGTGGCAACTAATAAATGGTACTCTAAAGAAAATTGTAGAAATGTATCTACTTCACTTACTTAACTCCGTATTCCTTGTTTTGTAGACAAACTCATTGGTGTTCATTGTACCCATGGTTTAAACAGGACTGGCTATCTCATCTGCAGGTGAGTTGCCAACCCCAAAAGACAGACCACGTTTAAGTTGTTTTGTTTACAATAGTAGTGTAAGCTAGTTGCAAACAATGCAGTTGGTATTGAAAGGTATGAAGTAGAAAGCAGTCTTGCTCCTCACCCAAAGATTAGCACCAGTAATAATTTAGTATGTATTTTTTCAGACTTAAAAATGCAGAGAGATACAGGTATATACATGTAATTTAATGGTGTAATATTTTAGATACCCCGTTTTATAATTTAATATATTGTGGGCATCTTCCTGTGAAAGTATTTGGAAACCTCATTCTTTTTTAGAAGCTGCATTGTTCCTTTGCTTCCTGATGAACATAAAAGTCAGAAGTTTTTAATACTTTAAAACACTGAATCAGGGCGCCTGGGTGGCTCAGTTGGTTAAGCGACTGCCTTCGGCTCAGGTCATGATCCTGGAGTCCCTGGATCGAGTCCCGCATCGGGCTCCTTGCTCGGCAGGGAGTCTGCTTCTCCCTCTGACTCTCCCCCCTCTCATGTGCTTGCTCTCTCTCATTCTCTCTCTCTCAAATAAATAAATAAAATCTTTAAAAAAAATAATAAAATAAAATAAAACACTGAATCAGTGAACATTCCTGTATGAACAAATTTGAATATATATGCTATTTTCTCAGATAATTTCACTCAGAATGGAATTTTTGAATCAAAGAATTTATACATTTGTTCATTCAGAAAAGACTGAGCATCTGTTCTCTGTAAGCACTGTGCTGGGTGCAAGCAGAAAGACTTCAGAGACTTGACTTGCTTTTTGTGAACTCTTAACAGTCTAGAGAGAGAATAGACATTCAGGAATCACACAAATGCATGTGGAATTAGAGCTCTGACAAATGCCAAGGAGAGGGACATGGTACATAAGAGCATGTTAATAGGAGGGATTTGACCTTAGCATGGAGAATACAGAATGTTTCTTTGGGGATGTTTGGGCTGATATCTGAAGGATGTTGAGGTATTAACCTGTTAGACACTGGGGAGAGAATTCTGGGCATAAGGAACAGCAAAGACTGATAATAGGAAAGCATATGCTGTGTTGGAACGAGCCAGGGAGGCTGGTCCATGGGAAATACGGTGTTAAAATGGAGCTGAAAAGTTAAAAAAAAAAAAAAAAAAAAAAAGGTTGGGGGTGGGAGTGCCTGGCTGGCTCAGTAGGGAGAGCATGTGACTCTTGATCTCAGGGTCATGAGTTTGAGCCCCGTGTTGGGTGTGTAGATTACTTGTTGTTCGTTTTTGGGGTTTTTTTGAGATTAGTTTAAAAAAAAAGTTTAAAATGAGCTGGAGGGGCACCTGGCTGACTCAGTCAGAAGGGCATGTGACTCTTGATCTTGGGATCTTGAGTTCAAGCCCCATATTGGCCATAAAGATTACTTTAAAAAAAGTTTAAAATGGAGCTGGAAGTCTGGGGAGGAGCTAGATCATGCAGGTCTGTGTTTAGACTTTATCTTAAGAGTAATTGAAAACCACTGAACTTTTTTTTAAGGGTGAGTATATAGAACAATAATCAAATTTGCATTTTCAAGCCATTGTTTTGCTGCTAACTGGAGAATATGCTGCGGGGGTGGGGGGAAGAATGGAAGCAAGGAGAAAAGTTAGGCTTTTGTAGAAATCAAGGCATGATGGTGGCTTGGACCAGGGTGTGGTGGTCATTTGGGTAGAAGGATGTGGACATATTCTAGAGATGCACATTGTTAGGACTTGGTAGTATGTTGCAGATGAGGGTGAGGGAGAGATGGCTGGTGGTGAGAGTGACTCCTAAGCTGCTTCTGGCCCATACAGTTGGTTAGATGGTATTTAGATTTGATGTTAATATTCTTCCCAATTTGTCTTTTGCTATTGTTGGTTCCTGATAAATACTCTGTCATATTAAGTCTCCTGTTTCTAGTATACAAAACACTTTGATAAAAATGACTGTTGTGGGGTGCCTGGGTGGCTCAGTGGGTTAGGCGTCTGCCTTCAGCTCAGGTCATGATCCCAGGGCCCCAGGATTGAGCCCCATGTGGGGCTCCCTGCTCAGCGGGGAGTCTGCTTCTCCCTCTCCCTCTGCCCCTCCCCCCTGCTCTGCTCTCTCACTCTCTCTCAAATAAATAAATAAAACCTTAAAAAACAAAACCAAAAAAACAAAAATGACTGTTGTATTTTTATCAGATACCTTTTTAACGTCTGCCAATTTGGTCCTGTATTTTCTTCTCTTTCATTTATTAATTAAATTGTTGTGTTAATGTAAATAATTATATTAATAGATTTGCTAAAGTTGGGTCATCCTTGGAATAAAACCTTTTTGTGGTCATGATATATCATTCTTTAATAATTATTGGATTCGATGTGCTAGTATTTTCTTAGGATTTTTAGATCTATATTTGTAAGTGAAATTGGACCTTTTTTGAAAACACTTGATTTTTTTCTTTTCATATATATAAATGACTTGAATTATGTTGTTTTATTAGATATTTGATTGACGTACAAGGCATGAGGCCAGATGATGCAATTGAATGTGAGTATGAGGGTTGTCACTATTTTTTCCTTTCTATAAAAGTATATTTTCCTTTTATAAAAATGTAGATGAATTTCTCAAATTTTAGAAAAAAGAAATGTTTGTAATTCATTTGCTCTGACACAATGCATTCTTTTGCCGAAAGTTTATAAAGGGATGTATCTGGAAATAGTGAGGTATAACTGCCTGAATAACTAGTCAGTGGATTTCAGCTTTGATCTGCTTTCTCTGGGAAAGATTTGCTATTTGTACAGTGATTTCTAACAGTTCATCCACTCTTCAGTATTTAACAGGTGCCGCGGACATTGCTTGGAAAGACAAAACTACATTGAAGACCTTCAGAAAGGTCCCATCAGAAGGTAAGTTGCATTTTATATGTGAGATCTCCGGTTAGGGAGATCTTTTTTTACATCATTTAAGTTGTACATATCCATTCTTCTTGTAGCTTATTTACTTGCTCGGGGAACTCTAAACAAACGGGGAGGGGAGGATGGGATTCTTATTTTCATGGGCCGAGATATCCTCACTAAATTGGCTACAGAATTTGGAAAACATTAATACTGTGTGGGAATGTTCTCTTTGAGGAATTGGGATTCCAGTGTATCCAGATCGAGTGGTTTTGAAGATGCAACACATATGATGGAACCTGTCCACACCACTATTAAGTCTGTTAACCAAGGACATTGGTATAACCTATATCAGACCCAAGGTTACCCAGTACCTTCTCGGCATTTCCACACCCAGACCCAGGATTTGCAGCAGTCAGTAAGGTATCTCTGCTGTCCCCTTTCCTAGAATTGAAATAGAAATTTATATTGTAAATTATTGCAAACACACGAGAATGGTGAGAATTGATGTTTTCTAGCTGATCAGTGTCAGTTGATTAGAGGTATCATTTGCTCCATATTTTGCATTCAGGGCTGGAAAATAAAGTATAGGATGGGGAGTAATATGTGACTTTTCAGAGGCAGTTGGGAAAGGACTTAGAAAATTGGATTGATTTTAAACTTAATTTAAGCCAACAATTTGATGTGATTACCAAAAAGGACTTGCATTCTTAGGCTCTATTAATAGTGGTAAAGTTTGCAGAATAAAGAAGGTTGTTATTTTTTATTTTTATTTTTTAAAGATTTTATTTGTTTATTTGAGAGAGAGAGAATGAGAGAGAGAGCACATGAGAGGGGGGAGGGTCAGAGGGAGAAGCAGACTCCCCGCTGAGCAGGGAGCCTGATGCGGGACTTGATCCTGGGACTCCAGGATCACGACCTGAGCCGAAGGCAGTCGCTTAACCAACTGAGCCACCCAGGCACCCAGAAGGTTGTTATTTAAAGAGTAAATACAAATTATAGGAAAAAGTAGTAAAATTCCAGTATGATGTAATAAATTTACCGATCTTGCTTTTGAAGCAATTAAATTTCAGTCTCAATTTTCCAAATTTGTTGCATGTGTAGTTAATAATTAGAATTTCTACACTTTATAGCTAATTTATATATGTATTTATAAAGTGAAAGCAGCTGTTTTTAAAAATAAATACCTTAATACTCTCTCACATCAACTCTGCAAGACTTGGGGAGAAAGTATTTGATTAGAAAAGTGTGGGCATTTATCTCTGTAGGGAAAGGCTGGAATAGCTCCTGGGAACCTACTGTGTGCCAAGGTGTTGTGGTAGGTAATTTAAATATGTTGTCTTAATTTACCTTGAAAACAAGCCATGAAAATGGAAGGTATTACCTCCATTTTATAAAGAAGTAAGAAATCCAAAGATGAAGCAATTTATCTGCTAAGGTTGTACAAGCAGAAGACAGTAGAACCAGAGTGTCTGTATTACTTTTTAAAGCTTTTTAATATATTTTACTAAAACTAATAATAATTCATTAATTTTTGTCTTCTTTAAGAAAATTTTCACAGAACCAGAACGTTTACCAGAGAAGCCATGTCCCTCCTCCTGGTCCCCCTGGAGAGGACTATTCACAAAGGAGGTACTCTTGGAATGTAAAGCCAAACGCCAGTCAAGCAGCCCAGAATACAGTGTGGTATCCTGGCAGTTACTACAGACTGTCGTATCCAACCTATTGTGGATGGACTGAATGACACAAATCTGTCCTGGAAATCTCTCTGCAGATAGAGCAGGACTGAAGACCAGCTGGAGTGACTTTTTGTAAGATCAGGTCAAATGAGGTTTATAATCTGTTTTACTGCTCCCTCATGTGTTCAAACTTAAAGGAAAATTACATTGATACTTACCTCTTGGCTGATAAATTTGCAGTATTTGCAACAGTAAAGGAAATAATCTGTCATTCAGTCTTAAATTTTTAAAAAGGAAGATGGTATTTTAGAACTGAGAAAGTAATAAAGAATTTCCCTTGTAAATTATTTTCTTAAAAATTCTGTCTTCCTTATTGATGTATTTCTTTCTGACTAGACTTGTGATAGGAGTGTATGTGCAGAGATTTCTGGTGTTTTTGTCATGTTCTATTATTGACCCAATCATTAAGGCTATCTTTTTTTCCCCCTAACTGTTCAAGATTTCTATTAAAACCTACCTAAGAGACAATCTCTTTAAAATCTATTTGAAATTAGTAATTGTATTTTTGTGATTAGACGTTTCTTTCTTTGGCAGTCTGTTGTGGGACTTGACCAACTTCTTTCACTGAATTGTCAGATACACCATCTAACACAGGAATGGATAAACTTTTAGGTAAATTGACGGTCAGTTGGGCAAGAGAAACTGATAAACCAGAATGCTGGTTAATTTACCTGACAAGGTAATTGTTATCAACTGGGTAGAACTATTCAGAAAACTTGAAAACTTTTATAGACTACAAAAGTTCTTTAATGAACAGAATAGGACACAACACGTAAAACCTGGGATATCTGGAAGATTTGTGGACAAGGATGGCTCCTTGTTTTATTGCTTCTCTGTTGAACCTGCTGGGATCTTTTTCCACTTGCCTCACGGTAGAGTGGTGCCTTGACCTTGACTTTCTCTAAGTTATCTTTTCTGCTGGTATACCTCTGGAACATGTAGATGGATCACTTGGGAGGTATTAAATATTTTTAGCTGCAGAGGAAGCCAGAGACCTTAAGTTTGCTCCAGAAAGTGTCTCACCAACATGACATCATAAGCCTCAGTAGATATTCAGTGAATACTGGGGCAGCTTGGCTTCATTTTTTTGAAGCCTCTGACTTTGAAGATTTGTATCCTAGAATGTCTCGTACTGCAGGCGACAGGCATTTTCTTTATCCTCTTTTCCATATGAACAACATGTGGAACCTGACCATAGGGAAGTGCTCTAGTTCAACCAGTCCCCTGGCCTGTGAGTCATTAGCTCAGTCACGCCACGACCCTTCCCCTGAGCGATGGCTCACGCATGAAGCGTTCCTCTGCCTGCCACAGGTAACAGAGACACACAAGTTCTTCTTGCTGAAAGGCTGCTCTTGCCTAAGTGTTGCCCAGGATACACCGTGAAGGCTCACAGGGACTGAAACTTGAGCTGGACAGCTAAATGGTGGGCCATAAAAGAACAAGCAGGGGCAGGCGTGGGAATCCAGCTACTCTGATAGTTTTCCTTGGCAAGCAGTTCCTAAGGAGGACATTGCCAGCAGAAGTGCCATCATTAGAAGTACTGCTACCTTCAGAAAATGGGACCCTATTGTCCCCTTTGTCCCCTTCCCATTTCAGACATCAACATGGTTTGTTAAAAAACTAGACTCCTGGGGCGCCTGGGTGGCTCAGTCGTTAAGCGTCTGCCTTCGGCTCGGGTCCTGGTCCCAGGGTCCTGAGATCAAGCCCCGCATCGGGCTCCCTGCTCGGCGGGAGGCCTGCTTCTCCCTCTCCTACTCCCCCTGCTTGTGTTCCCTCTCGCTATGTTTCTCTCTGTCAAATAAATAAAATCTTAAAAAAAAAAAAAAAAAAAACTAGACTCCTTGGGCGCCTGGGTGGCTCACATGGTTAAGCGTCTGCCTTCGGCTCAGGTCATGATCTCAGGGTCCTGGGATCGAGTCCCACATCGGGCTCCCTGCTCCTTGGGAGCCTGCTTCTCCCTCTGCCTCTCTCTCTCTGTCTCTCATGAATAAATAAATAAAATCTTTAAAAAAATAAATAAATAAAAATAAAACTTTAAAAAAAATAAAAATAAAAAACTAGACTCCTTAAAAACAAAAACAAAACAAAAAAAACTAGGCTCCTCTTGCTCTCTTATGTCTCATTTATTATTCACCACCCTAGAGTTCTGGCTTCTGCTAGCACTGTACCAAGAGTCCTCTGGCTAAAGGGACCAGTGACTTCCGTTTTTTTAAAGGTCTTCAGTAGCCTTTTAAGCTTTTAAAGTTTTCATTTTTTTTTTTTTTAAAGATTTTATTTATTTGACAGAGAGAGCACAAGCAGAGGGAGAGAGAGGGAGAAGCAGGTTCCCTGCTGAGCAAGGAGCCCGATGTGGGACTCGATCCCAGGACCCTGGGATCATGACCTGGGCCGAAGGCAGCTGCTTAACCGACTGAGCCATGCAGGCGTCCCTTAAAGTTTTCATTTTTATTTAAAAAACACATATGAGTAGTTTAAAATTCAAATAGTTCGGGGCACCTGGGTGGCTCAGACGCTGTCTTCGGCACGGGTCATGGTCCCAGGGTCCTGGGATCGAGCCCCGCATCGGGCTCCCTGCTCAGCAGGAAGCCTGCTTCTCCCTCTCCCACTCCGCCTGCTTGTGTTCCCTCTCTCACTGTGTCTCTGTCAGATAAATAAAATCTAAAAAAAATAAAGACCTTACCTCCAAATATAGTAACATTCTGAGGTCCTGGGGGTTAGGGTGAGTTCAACATACGAATTTGTCAGGGGTGGAGGGTAGCACAACTTGGCCCATGACAGGGACCTTGATCGTTCTCTATGCCTGGTGCAAAGCTGTTACCCTGGGATTTCTCTTCACTGTCACCCTGGTCATTTCTTATACCCCTCTCCTCTGTTTCCTGGATCCCATAGCTGCTGCTTTCATGGTGTACTTCCCTGTTTGGTGGAGTATATCCTTAGCTTCCCAGGGAGGGTTAACAGGATGTAAATTTTTCGAGACTTTCACATGTATGAAATGGGTATAGTTTATTGTTTCACTCCACTGATAATTTGTGAGGCTATAGACTTGCAGGTAGGCACTTTTAAATGCATTTACTCATTGTTTTCCACATTTTGTTGTTGCTCTTGAAATCCTGTGCTATTTTGACTCTCGAGCTTTTATTTGGGACCTGCAATTTTTCTCTCTGAAAGCTTTAGGATCTTCTTTATTTCAAATGTCCTGAAATTTCATGGTATGTTTAAAAGTATGACTATTTTATTTGCAATGCTGTATACTTAGTGAGCCCTTTCAGCCTGGCAAGTTGTCTATGAGTCCTGGGAAATTTTCTTTCTTTTTTAACCTTTCTATTTCAGGAACCTCTATTAGTTGAGTATTGGGTTTTTTTTTTTTTTTTTGAAATGTACCTCTAAGTTAATTATGTATTTTTTCTTATTTTCCATTTTTAACCTTTTTGCCCTTTCTTTTTTTTAAATCAGGAGAATTTCCTCAGCTTTATTTTCTATCTTCCATATATTATTTTCTGAATGGCATTTTTTTCAAGTACTTTTTTTTTTTTAATGAATGTATTCTCTTCTCTCCAAAGTTACCAATTATTTTTAGGTTTCTTCTGTTCCCTGCATCAACTGTTTTCCTTCTTCTTCTTTTTTTAATTGTTTGTTTGATGCCTCTCTCTCCTGTTAGTGGTATTCTTGAGATATCTGGTGACCTTTGTCCATCTTTTCATACTT